CACTATCAGTCGTTATGTGCTTATGAGCTGTAAAGAGTGCAAAACTTCTTAGGACTGTACAACGAGCACCTCTACCATTCTCAGTCGAGGTGTCTTTACGACGATGTTGCAACTGGGTGTGGAGCGTTACTTCCCAGTCGCGCACACTAGCAGGTTGCTTCCTAGAAAAATTGGGCAGTAGTTAACTATTACTAACCAAAAAGTCAAAAAAATTTTTGCTGAAACTTTGCCTCACAAAGGTAATTCGGTGTCCTGGTCACGAATATAGCACTCGTTTTGAGCGCTGGCGCCGAATTGGCGCCAGTTTGGCGCCGCCACCTTTCTCACCAAATTCGATGTAAATTTGCATAGTAGGGTTACTTGATGTCCTGATCACGAATACCGCATTAGTTTGCAGCCTTGGCGCCATTATGCGCTGATTTGGCGCCACACCCCTCTTCATCAGACATTCATTTTTTGAAGCCAGCGCCATTTAGCGCTCTTCCAAGGCTGAGCTTGGAGAAGTGATTTCCTGTAGGCCAGGCTCAGCCTTAGCAGAGCGCAGATGATCGTAGTGTCTTCCATCAGCGCCAGCGCCAAAAATGAATGTGATATTTGTAATCAAGATGTCAAATAAGTTTTCAGCGGATTTGGTGACTAGGGTGTTTGGCGCCGGCGTCTGTAGCGCGGGTCCCAGGCGGTTTCAGGGCGAGATTTAGGGATGCGATATTCGTGTACAGGAGAAAACTACCACTGGGGACAAGTTTTCAGCGAATTTGGTGGTTTAGGGTTTTGGTCGGGTGCCAGGCAGTTTCAAGCCAAGTGGATGTGATATTCGTGTACAGAAAGTCGAATTAAAAACCCCATCTTTAGCCAAATCTGCCCCCATAGAAAAAGGTCGATCAGAATCCGGCCTGTTTTCAGGGGGTAGTAATAGTTGGAATAGTGCCGCTAGCTGACTACGCAAACACAGGCACAAAGAGATCTACTGAACTAGAACAAACGCAGAGAGAGTAGCAAATCAGAGTGCAGTCGAGAGGGTTACGGGGCTGTTGTCAACCAGACGTGCTCTCGCTGCGAGGGTCCAGGGTTATTTTCACGAGGCATCTACCAGTCCAGTAGTTGAAGGGAGAAGGTAAAGGAGGAGGGATCAGAGAAGGAAGGAAGGAAAAGAAGGAGGGAGGAAGGAGACGCCGCGCCCTCTCCTCGCATTCGCCGCGCCTGCGAACTAACGCTCCACACCCTTTGCGACCTCGTCGCTTTCTTTTCAGGAATACCACCCTCCTTGTCTCTCTTCCACGAATACAACAGCATTTTTCGTCATTTCAAATAGAGCGTATTCAGCTTCAACGAAAGCTATGGAGAGTAACGTTATTCCACCGCTTGAAGCAGTATGGAATTTAGCAAGGATCTCGCTTGGTGTAGAAGGCATCGGAACCAAGAATCTCAAAGTAGAGGTGGGCAATGACTGGAATTCTTGACTTCTCGTCGTTCATTACCTAGCATTTAGCATTGCCAACCACTGTCGTCGTCATACCTTCGTTACTGTGGTCCGGATGATCTCTTTCACCCTCACACTGCATTTACTGCTTCCATCGACTCGGCATTTCTATTTCTATTGACCGTAAGAGGGGTCCTGCCTCTTCTTGCGGGCTGCTACGCTGGATATCCTTCACCGCTGAATTCAGCATACACAATTATCGCACCGGAGAAGTAAGTACACGTTATGGGGTCCGTCGTCAACTGCATTCCGTGCTATGACAGGCTACATGTATTCCTGCGAAGGCATGTTCAAAGGACGAAAATGGCAGCATCCAGACATGAGATCATCCCCCCCCATTTTGACTAACTGTCTCGAGCGTTCAAACTGCTACAATGTTGTGATGTTGTGAGTAGCTCGCGGTAGAATCGCGCCCGCCTCCCGTTGGTGGGGAGTCTTGACTCGTGGCATGTTCTATACGTAAGGCTGCGTTCATACTTTGCGACAGCGTCACCGTTTCGCGTTTCAGCGTGAGCCGACTAGGAAAAGAATACAAACTATCGCGTCCAGATCGTAGTGCTGGCTCATACGGACAAAGACGGTCTGTAGCCGTCTCCAAACTAGCCCGTCTTCCTAATGACTCACGTATATACTTAATTATGAGATTAAGTGCTGCGTAAGCTCAGATCCGACTCTCAGGAAGTACCGTCTCCTTAGCACAACACCAGCGCCCACCTACAGAGCGATCGTCGGACCAAAGAAAGAGATATTGGTACGAGCTGTTACGAGACGAATGTGAACGGGATCGTGAGAGGCACGATCGGCGCCTCAAGGGAGGTGTAGCTTAAAATATCGCGCTCTCAGCCCTCTCCCTACTCTCACTCTCTCCTCTCCTCCCCTCTCTCGATCGGGCCATCAGATTTCTGTTGTCTCTGTACCTTGTTCACTGAACACTGCGGTGAAGACGGTGAGGTGCATCCCCCGGCCCTCTCACACGACACACGATCTCGACGCGTGATGTATCGTCTCTGAGAAAATACAGTCACCCTCTGCGCTGGTCAGCGAGAATAACTGGTAGAACTCGCAGTCAGTGCATCGGGCCCGCTCGTCAAGCAGACAATAATAGAAGAAACGCAGCCAAAACTTGCAGCACAGTAATAAGATTGATAACATATGACTGACGGCCTCTCGAGATCCTCGTGTCCTCTTGTCAGACTCATATCAGCAATCTCTAATCACTACTCTATCTTAGGTATCTCCTTTGAACTTTGAAAGGTCTGTATGGTGAGGCTACTTGAGTACGAACAAAGTGCCACGAACATGGTTAATAGATAATCCTTGCGTCATACTGTTATGTGATCATCGTGGCTCGACACTAGTATGGTAGATTATCAGATAATACTCTAGTACGGTCTCTCCGGCGGGGTAACACTTATGACAGCAACGTCATTCTTTTGTTCCGCACCATCTCTCTGCTTTCGAGGGAGCGACCTCTAGCGCGCGATACTTCTTTTCTTCTGATTTCGTATTGCACGTGTCTTATAAGTTATCAAGAAAACACGCTTACCATGTACAACCCGGCGATCATGTACCAATAATCGCTATGCCCGAAATTCGCGTGCAGGTGGCAGGTTCCTCCTCCCCCAGCCCTGTCCAGTTAAAGCGCATAAGGCACGGATATTAGGTACTTGTCTATAACATGCGTATAGAAAGCCTATATAGGTCAGAAAAATAGTGAAAGCGACGGTGATCTACGGTCTACAAACCCCAGAAAAGCTCTCGTTCACGTGACTCTAGAGTATTTTTGGCTCTTATGGTGGCCGATAACTTGTCGGCATCTCAGTGCCACATTCCACGATTATAGCCATATAGCCGGCGAAGTCCTTGTCAACGTATCTCACTCACATATATCCATATAACTCAGCTTATACAGTACGACACTGTCGTGCATAGAGTGCCCATATAGTCTCGATCTCTCGCTGCGGGGCAATCGCATAAGCGCGAGCACATGACTATTAGGTTAAAACCAAGGTAGGTGCCAAGGAAACACAAATTACTGATCACTTTGCTTTAGCAGTCTGGTAATCAGTGGAGAACAGCATTTGTCTTGCCTTCTTAGTGGTCGCCAAACTCGTTCATCTCTCGCACCAGTTGTTCAAGGCTGCAAGTACAATAGTGATTCTTCTTATCCTTCCGTATTTATTCGTTTTCTACACACTTTGTCCTTGTACGCAAATGACGACGCTCATTTTCAACATAAGCACGGAAGCGTGCTCCTGATGCGAAGGCATAGACGATTGTTGACAGGTCAGAAATCGTTTCACCTTGGGTAGCGATCCGCGCCGGTCGGCGCGCGGTCCCGGCACGATTACCCTGAAGACGAAGCGCGCGCTCATACGATCGCACAACCACGAAGTATGAAAGCGCTCGTATTTTGCACAATCGAATGAAAGCGCTCGTATTTTGCACAATCGAAAATCAGGCGCGCACCTGACGAATTTTAGAGGAAGCAATTAGATGTTTCAATTCGAAATGCTTTGAATGACTTGCACAATGTTGGCTATTATAATGTACACTTAATTAGCAAAATCACCCATTCAAGAGCGAAGTGAACCCTTTTGATCTCCAGTGTGTGTGCGATCACTTTCCAGATGTCGATCACTGTAAGGAATGTAGAAAGTCTCGCCATACTCAACCAACTTGATGGGGTCAAATTCGAAAGCTGGCCAAAATGCTTCACCAGAACGGCTCTACTGAGTCAACCAGGGAATTATCTGAACCATCCCGCTGGAAGTTAAAGGCATAAATAAAGAGTACACACCTCCTGCCGTACGCGTATTTCCAGATAGAGATACGTTTGTCAAGAAAGCGTTGCTTATAAAAGGTGCCCTATGCTCCGCATTGCTGAAGGCGCACTGTATATATCACGACAAAATGTCACACTCTAATGTGGCTTGTTAACTGCAGGACCTGCAAAATGAACGTGCCAAATTGCTTGAATTACTGCTCTCTGCAGATATTGAAGAAACCGTTTCGAGAGCAGATTGCTTTAAGTTAAGGAAGCAGGTAGACTTTAGAGGAAACGTCCCCACTTGATGGGCGAGGTGTCTTAAATGATGAGAAGGCGTTGTGTTGCCTCCTTACAGGACTTTACCTATAGTTCAACGAAATTTTGGTGGAGCCTGGAACGCCACTCTCAACTATATTATACAAGCTCATGCTTTCGTGAGTATAGTGTGGGAATATGCCATGCGCAGTGGTATGTAGCACCTAAGATGTTATCCTGGGTGATGATAGTTACCACGATGGCTAGTCCAAACCGGCCACGACCAGCGCTCACAAGAGAGCCGGATGCCGAAGTGCGATTTTTGCCGTTACGTGCGTCGCCGTTGAGGAGGGTGACACACTCATAGGCTGACACGCCCAGCCGTCCGCAACGAACTAGAGTGTACTCATGTATCCATGCAGCACCTCAGCCGCTTCTTAACAATCTCTCATAGTGTAATTGCAAATAAACCGATAAGAACATCAGCATCGATCGGACGTTAGTGGACGAGCGGGGCGGAGAGCTTCTGGGTCGTTATGTGCAGCTTGATAGGGCGCTATGAAGGTACCTTCCTTGAAAGAGGCACCAGGCAGCGCTTGCTCAAGAGTGCCGAGTTCTGTCCTCCGAAACGTATTAATTCTTCACGTCTTGGGAATTTATCGTGCCACTTGCCTATAAGAATTTGGCATTATTTACCCTTTACTGCCCCAACCATCCAGAATTGAGCCAGTTTTTGACCGACTTTTTTCTCCGTGGACAGATTTGGCTCAAATGTTGTCTCCTGGGGTAGTTTGACCCCCTGAATACGAATATCACATTCACTTAGCCCGAAACTTTCTGGCGCCCGCGCCACAGGCGCCCGTGATTTGGGGTATTTTGGCGCCAACGGCTGTAGCGCGGGCGCTAGGAGGTTTCGGGCCAAGCAAATGTGATATTCGTATTCAGGAGGTCAAACTACCCCAGTAAACAAATTTTCAGCCAATTCTGCCAACGCAGAAAAGTCGGTCAAAAACTGGCCTGTTTTTGGAAGATTGGGGCAGTAGATGGTAAATAGTGCCAGGAATTTTGCTCGTATCAGCACATTGTGATAACTTTCTGACCACGATCTGCGGCATCAAACTAATTATCATAGTAAAACAACTTGGAAAGGAAAGCGTGTGGAAATATGAAGTTTTTTAGGATCATCAAAAAGCCTCCGCCCAAAATAATACCGAAGCGAGCACCGAAATTGACGAAAAAGCAGAAAAAAGGTCTAAAAGTGCGCCGTCAGCGAGCCGCAAGGATGAAAAGGCAAGCAGACAAAATTCTTAAGGAGACGGAGCGACGCAAAGCGAAGTTGTTGAAGAAGGCGGTGGGTGTACACCTATCGCCACATACGCGTCATTTTTTAAAAGTATCATATCCATATAGCTAAGGCTTCATTCATACATTGCTGCAGCGTCCACTAGCGTCTACCAGCGGCCGCCATCGTTCCGAGCGTCCGGCAGCGTCAGCGACCAGGAATAGATACCGATCTAGTGTCTGCCAGCGTCCAAAAACGCCAACAGCGTCCGCTGGCGTCTACCAGCATTCACCACCATCGCGAGGGCTAGGGAAGTACAGGTTTAGATCTAGTGTATAACTGCGTCCACCAGCGTCCGGAAGTGGAGAGTATGGCGCGATAAGAGGGTGGCAGGTAGTCGCTAACATACTATCGCACCATACTCTCTACCAGCACTCTACTGGTTACAGATTACAGATTATTTGGCGGGTTACAGGTTACAGATTATTTGGCGTCCTGTTTCAAGCGATTTCCATAGACGTCGATTTAGCGCCACTACCTCCTCTAGTTTATTCCGAGCGAAGAGCGTGACCATATACCGTCGAATTAGCTCTACGAAGGTTGTCGGAGCTTTCACAAAGCGGACAGATTCCCTTAGAGTGGGCGGAGCTTCTTGGTATAGCTAAGAAAGGTGGACAAATAATAATTAAAAAAAACTAAAACTTCGCAAAAGTTTACAAAACTCCTCCGCAGTGGGCGCGGCTTGATGGGCGGGGCTTAGAGAATCGGTGTATGAATGCTTGTCTGTAAGCACATCCAGTACGGCATTGGGAAAGTTATGAAAATTCAAAGATCACAACAACTAGTGAAAAGTGAGCTGCCAGTGCCTCATAGAGGACGGGAGCGGAAAAAAAAATTTTATCTTGCGCGGCGCTTCATCACCAAACGAATTGTCTTCAGCGCATTAACCCTAGTTTTCCACAAATCGATGGAACTACTGACCCCACGCCCTGCATTTGTTTTCACGCTGACCATGAGTCGTACCGCACTAGCCATTTTCCCCTAAAGTTTCTGCCAGTCTCAAAACTTGGGATATGTCGTGTAGTTAGTTCCGAAAGGGGTTTAGAGAGGTTTTCAATATTTTTTTCAGTATAGGTGTGAAGGAAAAGGCAGGAAAGTCTGAATAAAATTTATTTCTCCAGTGTAGTTCCCCATAACCTCAATACACTTGTTTGCTCGGGAAACTAACTTTTCAGTACCCTCCAAAATCATTTTTCTCCTTGTCCCCAAAACGTGCGTTAATTGCCGCCTTTAGCTCTCCATCGTCAGAAAAACGCTTTCTACGACGATCTTTTTTCTAGGAACTAGGAGAAATCACATTTTCATCTTCTCGACTCCTTTTCATTTTCTCAATTTCCTCTTCATTTTTCTTATTTTTTTAACCAGTAATCATTTCCTCAACATTGTTGCATCAGCCATTCTGGTCTTCTTCCACCAAGGATAAATGTAATAGCATTGATGATAACTAAATGGAATTTCGCACTTCTACTCTCAATAAGTGTGGTTACCTATAGAAATGATTTGAAGACACATGGTACGCTCACACACATTGAGGGTGTATGTGACTATCAGCCCCCAGCTGTCGATGTGTCGTGGTTCCCCGCCCGAAACTGCACGGGGTTAGAGTACAGGAACCGTGGGAAAGTCTAATTCGTCCATGCTCCGCCCAAATGCAAGCTTGCGGCGCAGACCCCCTTTGTGCTAACAGCCGTTCCGCGCGGCGCGTGTCGCGCGCAGCTCTCTTGGCTTTTTGCCAAGTCCTGTAATTGTCCTTTGGAATATCTATCAGTGTCTTTAAATTACTGCGCCACTACTAAATTACCCCGATACCGAGAGTACTTTGAATGTCCCAAGTAAAATGGTAACAGCTCATGTAAAAGTTCCCTTTACAGTCACCATTTCTGAAACCAAACTAAATAAATAGTAAAACCCATTACTGAAATAAGAGGTGTAATGGCGCTAGATTAAGACACTGCAATGGATTCTTTAACAAACTGCTTTTCAGCGTGGAGCTACCCACAAGCGTTAAGGTCGTGAACAACATATTGCAATATTTCAATCCTTTGTGATGAAAATAATAACATTAAATTCAAATGTTTAGTGTCACAGAGTGAATATAATAAAGAAATTGTGAATCATCAACAGTTTGTCATAAAACGCGGCACACCTAAACAGATAGAACTTTGACACCACGCGTGAATGCTACCGGCTATAAGAACCATTAGAAAAATAATATGTGTGTAGTAGAGGCAAACAACAAACTTAACATTCCATGAAAGTCGTATAAAGAGTAGACATATATCGATGAAGTGCGAGTGAAGTAACATAACAAAACAAAACCGCTATCACTTCCTCCGCCAATTCGTGTCACTTTCAGCACCAGTTCCTCGGGGTTGATTTCGCCTAGGCTCTGGACGATTCGGACCCATGTCTCGAGGTGGTATTCCTCCTTAAATTCAATTGAAAACATACCAACAACTGAAACAGTGAAAAAAACATACCTTGTTGCGCTTGATTTCTAAGCCTGGATGGTATAAACTTCCCTCCTTCAGCAGGTTTGTTAGGAGGCGCTACTGAAAGTATACACTTCTTTAACGAGTGGGAACAGCTCTTCAATGGGCTAACTATACCACTGGGAGGCAATGGATCTTTCTTGACAACATTTCCTCGAGTCCACATTCCTTCTGATGGAGCAGTACTAACTGGTGGAGCCCTTCGCATTGGACCATCTAAAAAGTAAGCTTCACTTACGTGTAAATTCAAAATTAGTGTTCCCCTAGTATACATGCTGTTACTGTATTAAGAACTGAAACAGACCAGACGGGTGTGGTGCAGGAGGTGGCGCACTTCCCATGCCACTTCGCCATGAGACATCTTTGTCCGCGATGCTCGCTGGTGGAGGTGCTAAAAAGTAAAAGAGAATGCAGGCAACGAAACGAATCGACGGATGAAACTCACGTGTAGGTCGTTCACGCTCACGGAATCCTGAGGGTGGCGGTGCGACATTTCCCATACCGCTTCTCCAGGCATCGTCCCTATCAGCTTGGGAAATGATATTCTGAAGAATTTTGTCCCAGATGTCAAACTCTTTCCTTATGAGGATCTGATTGCATTTTATAGGCGCATTTCACTAGAGAGCAGGTGGGTTTGAAAAGGAAAGTTCGGTGCAGATTGTGTACCCAAGGAAAAGAAAGGAAAAAAATAGAAAACGTCTTAAATAAACCCATTTTTTTGAGATAAACTGAGCTGTTTAAAGTTGAGCGGAGCACGAATGAGATAACCATCAAGGAAACTGCAGCCATGACCAAGACAAGAGACTATAGTGCATGCACAGTGATAGGTGAGCTTGAACTATGTCCTAGCGCAGTTTCAAGGGACAGTGGGCAGATGGCTGAAGACGGGCGGTTTTGCCAACGCCACTGGTGGAAGGGCTCAGTGGAGTGAGGCCGACCCCCCCCCCCGTCCTGATAGCCTTTCCACCAATGACGCTGTAATCGCCCGCCCCAGCCATAGTGCCCACCGCCTTCAAGCTTCAGGATTGATATCGGTACGAAATTCCGGAGATATCCAGCCGAGGGAGACCTGACCTCACTTATAGAGAGGAGTTATTCAACTCATCTGATCGTGGAATGTGCCTCGAACAAATAAGAGTAAATCATTCATTAGCTTCATTGAATTGCGGCCCCTTGAAAAATATATTACCTCTCGTTCTCGCATAGGAGGCCGATCTCCAAAATCGCGGTCCCGATCGCGACTCGGTATCGGGCGATTAGCCATCATTGGTCGTTCTCGACCTCCTCCTCCTCGCCAATCCGAATCTGCCATAGCTTTAGAATCCATATCCATTTCGCGACGATTAGGACCCTGGATAAGGCGAGATGTTAAGATCAGAGGATCATCTGAAATTGATCGCTTACCCGTGGTTCCCTCGCTGCTCTTCGTTGTTCATCTATCAGTTGTTGACGTTGTCGTTCCTCTTCTTCGCGGCGACGACGCTCCTCTTCCAGTTTATTCTGGAATAAAAAGCAGAGGTTTACAAAACTAAAAAATGAAGTCTAATTAAAAACCAGGTAATGAAGAAAACTTACTCGTATCCATTTCTCGCGTCTTTCCTTCTTGCGATTCTCGGACCTTTCTTGAAGACGAGCAGCTCGAACAGCATTCAGTTTGCTAGTCCAGTCCGCAGTCTTTAAATTTGTACATAATATGGACAAATTTTTGATTGCTAATAAGACAGGGCACAGTTCGGCCATGGGTTGGGGGGGGTGTAATTTTGCACTTCTGCAACTTCGCCTCTAGCCATCGTCGCCTCTAGCTACAAGGGTTCACGCGTTTAACCAGAGTGACTATTGCAAACTGGAACTAGTGAAGCAACGAAACGGCAAAATGTTCCTATCTCCTCCCCCCTTCTCCGGACCGTCCTCAAGACTGCATTACTACACAACGACAGCCGAAAAACTCACCTTCTTGGCAAAATCTTCGGCATTTGAAGATTTAACCTGGGAAATCCAATCCATTGCGTCTTCTCGTATTTCTTCCAAGCGCTCCCATGTGCAAACTGCATGGTTATGATCATCTCTGAAATGGAACACTACTAGGGAGCGAAAACGTTGTTGCAAATTTAGGAATCAAAATTATACTTACATTGCTTTCTGAATCCTTTTTTGTTCATACTTCTCGTGCAACTTTGGAGCTTCTTGTAAACGCTTCATCATCACAGCTTTCCTGGAACAATGTGCAACTTCAGAACTATGGTTACAGCAGGTTAGGCATTGATAAAACCGAGAAATCAAGAATATTAACAGGGATAATAGTTGAACAAGGACCACACCTTTCTAACATTTCCTCAAGATGCACTGCTCTTACATGATGATCGAAAGTTTTGTCTTGCTGTTGAAGACGACGTTGCGTTTCCATTCGTTCTTTATCCAGTCGTTGACGCTTGAACAAATACTATGTTTCACAAGAACAAAAATAATGTTTCACAAGGAAAAAAAAAAAACTGGAAAGAGCAACTGTCGAGACAAAACCTCCAACCTGTTCCCTAAGCACAGCTTCAGGATCCATGTCCTTAAACACCTGTTCTCCTTTCTCCCTGATAATGGCTTGATAAATCGCAGTATTCTGCATTCTACGTAGTTGATCTTGTTTGATTTTCCTTTGCACTTCTTCCTAAAAACCACACATGAGAAGTTTAATGCTTCCAAACTTGAAGAAGGGGTTGAAGTTTCAGCTCTAACCTGCTCTGCTTGTCGTCTTCTCTTTTCGCTTTCGATGTTCTCTTGCTCCAAGCGCTTCATTTCTTCTGCACGTTTGGCTTCCTCGCGTTTCGCCAGTTCAGCTGCAGCTTGCTGTGAACGTTCTGCTTTGACTCGCTCTGATGTCTCCTACAACAAAAAAAATGAGCCACTTCAAATGAAACCCAAGCAAAACCTTGACAAAATGGTTAGTCGAATGGACCTTCCAAACTAAATAATCGAAAGTAAAGAAATCAGAATTATTCTTCTCTACTTGCTGAGGAAATCCGTGAAAAGCGAATGGTAAGCCACACCATTTCATTGCAATGGAGCGGTTTTAATCGTATGTACTTGGGGCGGGAGGTGTAGTGACAAGTGGCGCGCTTCGAGTCCTAGGTTCAAGTCCCGGGTCGACGCTCGCCCAGGCCAACCAGGCCTTATTCCTTCCGGGAACTGTAAATTGGTACCAGATTTATAGTATAAAATAGGCCACATCGCATTCTATAAGCCACTACGATCTGAATGGAAGTAGAATGCATGCCGCATCACGAAAAAAGAGATTAACGGCAAAGACTTTATCCTTATCCTTTTGTATAATTACTTCCTTGAAGAACTATGCTCAAACAGCTCACACCCGACAAGACCCCTAGTCCACCCATTCAACTGAAAACACCAACGACCAGCGGTGCTACACGTTTTAATACGAAAAACGCTTCCGTAGCCAATCAGTTGCATGGGCTTGAATTTGTCGAGTACAAGCCGTTACCGCTCTGAGGCCGTCATAAATGAATATATAAATCGATTGTAAAATACTCGACAAAAGGACACACTACGGTAGCAGACTTTTTGCTGGAAATGCACACAGTTCCATTGTTCGGGACATTCTATCCCCAATCGAGGCTTTCACAATCCAGAATCAAGAATTGAATCAAACAGCTTGCTAGTGAGCAGCTGGTAATCCCTTTTAAGGTAAGATTTTTCTCTAAAGTGCACATTGATTCTTTGAGAGGTACACTTCACGACATCCGATGTGGCCAATAAGCATAGCGTATTGTTAAGTGCTCAGATCATACATGGGATTAATTATAAAGAAATCAATTAAAAAGGATCAGAGCATCAAACGATACATTACGTAGTGAACAAAAAAAAATTGCCTCTAACCTTATAATACTCGATCTTTCGACGACGTTCCAGTATGCGATCTGTCTCTTGCTTGCTATTTTTCGTTCGCTCGTAATTGATTGCGTGGTGTTTGACCTAAACGACAAAGACATAAAATTTCACCCCTTATACGACCACTCTCCTACTACAGTCCGAGAATACTCAAGCGAACCAAAAATGGAGACTCGACTCACCCTAGCTATGAGAGCTTCAGTACGCTTGTCGCCATCTAAGAGCTCTACAGTAGATCGTAACTTGTTATACATAACCTCAAGATGAGTACGTATTCCTTCAACGCCCAACTGAGTATCGTCACCTGAAATGAACACCATACTACTCTCGGTTATTATCTGCGTCAGTTAATTTAGAAAGAATGAAACAGAACTACTGACCCGTGAATCCATTCGCTTCTTCTAGGTCAACTCCTCCTGCTAGAGTAGCGTCGGCCGCTCCAAAGCGAATACACCCGCTACGGTGATCGATTTGGGCCTATATGAGAATTAATATAGCAGTCGCTTCTAATGCTGTATTGCTTACTCAATATTAGGTTGTCCGGAAAGTTCTCAGCGTTTTGAGTGTTTCACTTTAAACGATCATAACTTTCTTAATACTCATCGGATTAATCGAAATAAGCACCGTTCGAATCAGCACACTTTTGCCAATGTGACACCAGTCGAGAAATCCCATCAAAGGAAAAAACTGGGTGGTCGAGAATCTACCTGGTCCTGATTGATGAAGTATTTTCCAGCAAGGGAGTTCTGAAAATGAATCAAGCCCCCAATTCGTTCAATTTATGGATAGTGATTTGTGAAACGTGTGGGCGGGCGTTGTCATGCAAAAGAATCGGACCCTTTCTGTTGACAAGTGCTGGCTGCAGCTGACGCAATTTTCGGTACATTTCGTCGATTTCTTCACAGTAGGACTCTGCTGTGATGGTTTGGCCTGGTGACAAAAAGTTATAGTGGATCACACCAGCCGATGACCACCACACTGTGACCATAACCTTTTTGTCGTGAGGATTCGGCTTTGGAAATTGCCTCAGGGGTCCGCCGGCATCCAACCACTGTCCGAAACGTCTCCTGTTATCATACATGATCTCCTTTTCATCACACGTGACAATTCGGTCCAAAACGGGTCGTTTCTGTTGCGCAAAAGCAGTGAAGAAGAAACCTCGAGACGTGCCAATTTCTGCCGGTCACTCAAATTGTGGGGCACCCACTTGTCGAGTTTTTTCACCTTCCCAATGCGTTTCAGACCATCCGCAACAGTGGATTTGCCAACGCCTAGCTTTTCTGCAATCTCTCGAACTGTTTGGGATGGGTCACCCTCCACAAATGCCTTCAAATCTTCGTCAGGTATTGCTTTAGGTCGACCGCTACGAGGTTCATCTTCAAGGCTGAAATCTCCAGAACGAAATTTGTCGAACCATTGTCGCACGGTGCTTTCTCCAACACTATTGGGCCCCCACACCTGGTTAATTTTCGAGCTGTCTCGACTGCGGATTGACCCAATTTGTAGTTGAAGAACAATATCGTCCGAAGTTGCTCTTTTGACATGCTTGAAAAACTCTTGAAAAAAAAGGGTCCAT